CGAAAGTTATTCGAGAAAAACTCTCTCCATATTTAGCGCCGCCATTTTGACTTTTTCGACCCCTGTGACGTCATCTTTGACCTGACCTGAAAATGACCTTAGTAAAAATTATAGATCTTGACCGTGGGTATCCGATGCCGTTTACCGCTTGTCGCTATCTTGCTTCGTTCTCGAGATCTCAGGGGGGGCGGTCATCCGCCCCCCCCCCCGTCGGTACTAAGTTGGCGCAGACCCCCGTCGGTGCGCGGGTTAAGGTGGGAGGGTCCCTTTAAGAGACGGCTTTTTCATATCAATTATTTTACATAAAATCATATTTCAAACCATAAATAATGTTCGACAGCCAAATAAAAGAAACAATACCAATACAGGCTTACAGTTTAAGGCTCGACATTGTGTTGTCTACGATTAGACAGCTGATAACTCATTCCCGTACGTCGTAACTCTATAATGACCTTTGCTTATTGTCACATGTGCGCCGCATTCGCGATTGTTGCCGACGCCTGTTTGCAGGTCAGCCCACTACAGTTGTTATACATATCGAAAAACCGATAAACTTTTAGGCGAAAAAGGCACTATTCCAGGCCCATTTTTGTTTTGTTTTTTGCGATATTAGGTAAAAACAGAAGCTTCAATTCTTATCCTAGGAAAAATAAAATGGGAAATCTTTCAAAGGTGGCACACTACCTTTAAGTGACATAAACAAATATGTAATTTGTGTTTCAATTTCAAGCGAAACCTTGCTGTAAACAAATGGTATTGCTTATTTCTCGAATCAGATGAACGCTCCTCCCATCATTCTAACCTCGATGGTGGCTATGGTTGAGGCCAGGGAGAAGTCTGCCACCGTCTGCTTGGGACCGGCGACGTACTGGTTGTCGCCGAAGAAGCCCTCCAGCCAGCCGAGCGCCTCGTTCAGCTTGGGGATGGCGTCTTCTTCCACCGGGCGGTTGCCGAACATTAGTGGGATCTACGAGTGATGGTTAGAGTCGTTATATTGGCATTTCGTTCTTAATTTGATAGTTACAGCCGAAATATAGCCACAAGCGCAGCTTTACTTCACTGGCTCAAAAATGTTAAGAATCAAAGAACAAACGTCTCTTTGTCCTTGTAATACCACATAAACTCAAAGGAAAGTGCCGCAAATCAAAACTTTAACACGCAAGCAACTCATGCCTACATTAATTTTCCGAGGCATAGTCATAAAATTCATTCAGGACTATCATTAAAAAACACTCATCATGCTATGAAGTCTCACAAACGGCAGACGCTTACGCACTGTGCATTTGGCGAAGCGCTCGTAGAGCGTTCCCATGTCGAAGTAGAGCCTCTGGTCGACTACGGCTCGCTCCTTGGGGTCGCTCGGGTACAGGTGCGCCGGACCGTACTTGGAGGCTAGGTAACCGAGGATGGCACGACTGGAACGGACAACTCAGACGTGATACTGAATGCCATGAAGTGTCATGCAAAGCGTGACAATCAAGCCATGACATACGTTGATTACGATAATGAGCCCGATGCGACAATTTGCTGACCTAACACTTCATATCAAAGGTACGGAGCCCATTGTCTTGCTCACCTCTCCCACAAGTAGAAGCCGTTGTCATCCATCGTCGGAATGGTGTGCTGAGGGTTCATCTGCGGAAATGAATGTGGTATTTGTGTTAACTTTTAATTATTATTTTTGATTTCTAAGAGCAACACAATAATGACGGATACCTGTTTTACATACAACAGTCACAAATGCAAGCATTTAATGGTGTATCTCTCGGCTTCGTTCTATTTTTATTTTCATGCCCTATTTACTTCACATATCGACAACAGCCGCATCGTATTTAACTGCATATTTGCCACATGTTAGCCATGGCATAGCCTATCTCACTGACCTGCAGGTAATGCTGTGTGCGGTTATCTCCGGCCAGTACATTGCACAGTTTGGGAGTTAGCTGCAGTCCGATGGACTTTGCCAGTAGGAGAACCGACCGGCACGGGGCGCTCAGAGGCATATAATGCAGCTCCACAGGCTTCGAACCGTCCGCCATCGCTGAGAAAAACACGGCGATAAGTGAGATGGTAAAAGGGAAGGAGTTTCTGTTAGACGGTGCTGAAGCGAAGCCCAATTACGTTCCTTTAGGCTCCCATGAAGGCAATCGTTTCCCGTAGTTTATATGGATTGATGATAATGGTCATATGGATATTTGAGGCTATATAATCAACCATGAGTGCTTCTTTTGTGTAAGATCGCATTTATCGGCCGCATCTAATAGATTGTCGTAGAGGACGAGACAGATAAGTGCACGACAATTACCAGGATCCCGCTGCACTTAGGGGTACCGATACTGAAGAGATAATCTGATTCATCGAACGGAGAAGAGAATCAGTCGATGTGAATCAGTTGCTACAGTCCTGAGCCCACAGTGACAAGCCTAAATCAAAGAAACATGGCTGGAAAGGCTCAGCGACATGACGTGTTCAGACGGTACTTATTCCTGTGGAAACTGGATTATGGATCATGGACGGATGGCTGAGGCATAGATCGCATTACAGTGGACCACAAGGAACGTTTGCTGAGCATGAATCAGGATATCGTATTCGTCCATGCGATTATGTAATACAAATTGATGAGTGATTATGAAAGCGCTTCTAAGGGCATTTGACAAGAAGGCTTTTCCCGAGGCATTTCCGTTGGCAGCCGGGATGCCACGCTGTCTTTAGTGAGACATTGGGAGGCGCTTCAGTCATTCTACACAGGATATCACCATGACGAGTGGTTTTGCCGCCGCTCGCTCTAACTAATTGCCCCCCACGGTGTGAGGGGAGGCATGCTGCGAGTCATATCCTGTGCGACATGCGTGTTCCAGGCTCCTCAAGGCTGGAGGTGTGTTGCTCACGTTGGCCGTTTCGAGATGAAAACAGCCTCAGTGCCTAAGCCTGCAGGTGGTCTCTCATTCATAGAAACACACATAACTTTGATGATTGTTTATTCTTGCATTGTTTGAGCTCTGTTGTTTTGTCGGGACATAAGTATTACCTAGGACTCTTTGCATTATATTGCTCCGTCATATTAATCCGAGATATACCAGAGCTATCTGCATCTAGCGCATCACAAGATAGGCCCTGATAACGCTATCAATTGAGCTTACGTCACCCAAACCTAAATATCATCCAAGCAACACTATGAAAAACGTTTCTCCATAGCTAGGCAATACATTGTGATGTTTATGCAACACAAATCCACAACTTTAAGAGTTCTTACGTACCGCCTAGGCTTTCGTCATGGCCTCCGTGACTATATCCAAGCTTATCAGTCAGAATACGTCGTGACTGAATGTACAGTTTGCATTATTACAAGCTCAATAAATGCGATTACATAAAGCCATGCTCATTGCACAGGCACTGCATCCTTTCTGGGAAACGATATCCCGGAAAATGCTATATGCTATTGGGAAGGTGACCTTCATGTTCATGTCCACCAGGTCATGAAAAACATCTTTGAACAATAAACATTGCAAGAGTGCTTGTTGGATCATGCACTGCTCAGCTTGGTTCGAGGAAGCTAGCAGGATATGTCTAATGTCTATGCATACAGTACCTGTGTCAGTGTCAATATGTGACTCGCCCTTCCCCCCCCCCCTCTCTCTCTCTCTCTCTCTCTCTCTCTCTCTCTCTCTCTCTCTCTCCCTGTGACTACACCTCTCCATCCAAGGCACAGAACACTTCATCACTGATCCCGAATACCCCAAATCGCCCATTTGTGTGACACCAGTAATCAGGCCGCCCTTACCAGCCGCTCTGCCGCTGATTACAGGGAGACAGGTGTTCCACAAGGGTCGATCGTTGGTCCCACCAGCACTGTGCCGGCTCACAGACGTACCCACAGTTCTATCATCGCCGTGTTATCAGCCGCGGTGGCTATCAGAGAGCTGATACAGAGGCGTGCTGAGCCAATAGTCAGCGGGTCGAGATGGTGATCATCTAAAATTGATATCAGCATGTGAAGTACGGCTGATAAAAAGTTCTTAAAGACGTGAAATCATTAAACGTCTCTTGTAAGGGCCGTCCAGGAGTGAACGATTCCGCAATAAAAGCAGTCGCTGATTTTGAAATACCTAAGAAACCCTCATCCGATCGGAACGTTTCGTCGATTCCCCCTTTCCACGTATCAGACCTTTTATTTCTGTCTTCGAGTTAGCTGTCACGTCATATATGACCGTAACTTACGTCATTTAGTTCCTGATGTCTGTTGAGATTGAGGCAGAACTCAAGTGCAGGACACAGAGCTAATGCAAAAGTCGGTGCTGAGACATGACCAGCTGCATCTGGGACACCTGTCTGCTGACAGATAGGGCAGCGATACCTTGACGACATGAGCCTGAGACCAGGGCTAATGTAGGTATACCGGGTGGCCCAGAAAAAAAAAACGTTCCCAACTTTAAATCAATATTTCTCAGAAAGCGATAAGGATACAACATAACAACTTCCAATAGTCAATGCGGCATACATTTTCAGTAAATGGTATGATTTTTATGTTATTCGGTCAGTTACTTTTTAAATGGTTCGTGTTTCTAGCATGCCATGTAAAAATTACTTTTTTTGGCTCAGATGTTTACTAAAAAATGTGAGTGAACGGGCCACTTCCATCTCGGCACCACGGCCTGCAGCCATGACTGCTACTGGCAACTATAGTCTCATTGATGGTTCAGGCCTCAGAGTGACACATTCCCTCCAGCTTTTTTCCTTATTCGGTCGATTTACTGTTTGATCTTCTTGAAGGGAGGGCGATCAGCAGTAACCCATGCACCGTGCCACTCCTGCTCGAAACAGGACTTATTAAAGCAAATGGCATCCATTAACACTATTTTGGCTCAGTATTTGAATATTTGGCACATAAGTGGGACAAAAATATGTAAAATAACAACACACGTGCTGGTTTCATTCACGTGTTCTATTTTTCCATTCTTTTTTCTAACGTGGTACCTACGTCTAAGCCAATCATTACTGCCGCTCAACATCGGCAAAAAAAGCAAAAACGTCTTACTTAATTCAACATAAAATTGCTGGCTTGAAAATGATGTTACAGTGTTATAATTTGGCATACCAATGCGCAAAGAAGTGACGCAACCTTGCTGAAAAATTTGGCTCGTTATTTGCACTCGAATTTGAGATATAGGCCTCCAAAGTTCGGAAAGTTTTTTTTTGGGCCACCCGGTAAATCGGATCAGCATAAATTTTCTATCTCGAATGGGAAGAGCAAGTCGTTCATTGGGGATTCGCCTCCACATGGATACAGGTTATCGTTCACGACGCGACGGAAAGTCAAAGGCATTCAAATAAATTTGAAAAGTTTATATAGGGTATGCGATGTGCACCCATCTCATTCACGTTATGTAAGTCTTTCTAGTCACATACCTACAGCCAATGCTAATCTAAATTCCAGTCGTTCGATACGGTGCATCTCTGCACCAAGTACCGACTATCAATGAGTTCAGCCGCAGAATCGTTTGAATCAGACGCAACTGCAAGTCATCCTGAAGCGGTGAGCGCCTTTACTGAGAGCCGAGTCTCTCAGGTGGGACACGTCACTTCGAGAGCCGTCCACACCTGCCTGAATCATCCTGCCGAGTCATCGCAGGACGTCACCATGGCAACTGACGCCCGAGGGAAATGCCATCGTAGGTATGGTGTGTGAGTCGCGAGCGGTCCACGAGCGAAACAAAAATACCCCGCCGAATGTCAACTTCGCTACGGTGAAAAAGTTACCAAACTGCTATACGGATCACATTGCCATTTCGGCCACACAATGGACAAAGTCGCAGTTTATGAAATGCATTGCTAATCAAATGTTAAATTCATATAGGTGTCTATCTACATGTAACATACATTATCGTGAAAACGTCATTGTAGAGTGGTTCTGAACGTTTTCAGATAAATTTTGCCACAGATAACAGTAGTAACAGATAACAGATAACATATAACAGTAGTGTGATTTTGCACATTATTGTTAGGTTTGCAAACTAGCGCTCCTTTCTTCATCGTCGAAGAACCTGTGCAATCTAAAACGTGCACAGGCGTGGTCATGTTTTAGATATTTTCGGCCAGGCCACGGGCCGTTTACATAAGTTTGCTGCACAGTTATGTGCAGCCGATCCATTGCTATGTTTATTGGCGGGTCGACTCAGCAATGACGTCGCAGTTGCATGTGGTGAGTGGCGACTGACACTGTCTTGTTAACACGGGACCTTGGTGCCGCATCAGACGGACGGGCGGAGGTCTGGTACTGTGCAACGTCATTCCAGCGTAAGGCCGTCGGCCATTCATCCGACTTTCCTGCTCGTTCATTCACCCTGTGACAACACCCTCGCTGTTCCACCGTGCCTCACCTGACCTCGTCCCATGGCCGGTGCTGACTCTACCGTTACCCGTCTGGGTTGGTCGGCGTCTGCTCCCCCAGTCTGGCCGCCTGGAGCCGCCTCTGCGCGCTGCAGGGGTGTCCGGCTCCGCCTATTTGTCCGCCGTCCGGCCCCGCCTCCGTCCACTAGCTCGTGCTCCTCCGAATCGAGAGGTCGGCCGTCCAAAGTCTCCGTACCGTACCCAACTCCAAACCAGCAGGTAAGCTGACACGATGGAAATTTGAGTACTTAAATGTTATGAGTTCTGGGGCATGTGGTGTCTGAGTTCAAGCGCCTGTGCCCTGTGTAGTACACGGTATTGCTTCCTGTTTACTTTTCTCTTTTATATTTAGTTTGGTGTTTAATTTTATCTAAATATACCTAGAAACTATCCAGTATCCATAGACACACTCATATCTTCGTAAATTGAGACGTTAAAAAGTACCTAATGCGGTTTCATGTCATACTTTGTGTAGATCGTATGCGCTTTACATTTCGCCCCGCCCCCTCTCTTTCCGATCTATGTACAACCTGAACCGTCAGACCTTCAGTGTGGCAGTGTCAAGAGCCTCTTCTCACTATCATTGCGGGATGTTGCAATACTAGATAGGCTATGCGGAAGTTAGAAGTTACCAGCATCTGAAGTGCCCTTCTAATTCACAAAGTTGCTCAGAGTTTAGAGTGGAATTTCTATAACAAAGTTTGTCATTTGAATCACAAAATGTTATCTGAAATGGGAAGGTACAGTCTTTTACTACGAAATAAACATTTTATCCTTTTTTGAAAGCTAAATTAGAGCACTAGCTTTGCTCGTACGTCAGATCTTTTCCAGCATGTTTATCAAGTAATGCTTTATGCATTCAGCTCTCGTCGTTTCTATCAATCCATGCCGTCCGTGGACCAGCACCGTTGTTTGTGTCCTGTGCAGTCCGTTACCGGTGCCAGGCGACGACACCAAATGAGCCAACACGGCGAGCGGCACGGTTCGATAACGCCGTGTGCCTGCGCTTTGTCCCCGTGTATAGAGTACGTACAGAGACCTCAGTACAGCGAGCTCAACAGCTCAATGCCCGGCTACCGTGACGACGTTCTGGGACCTATAAACCATGTGAATACAAACCAGGAACCAAACAGAGACGCCGTGCTACGTGAATGCCTTTCAGTTCTCGATTGTCTATATTCATACGATGTATTCTACCCACGGCATTATCATTATAAAGACGCATTTATCAGGTGTCTATGGCCAAGCATTGTTTCACATTTACGCTAAACTTCATACTTCAGACAAGCGCAGCATATTTGGACTGTAAATATTCTTCTCACGAAATTCACATGCGCGGTGCGTGCACATTATAGGCATTGGGCCTTATTGGCCCCTTGTATATAGCCTGTGGCATTATGGACCCATGCGATAAGACGGTATACCAATGCATACACCGGAGTACGTTTTATGCTTGCTATCAGTAATAGTAGCGTACTCGAACCTAGGCCACTGAAGACCAGCTTCGAAATAAAAAGATGCATAACATACCCCTCGAGAGCTGGCTTAGTATATTGTTAGCTTAGTCTACTCTTATCATTATATTTTTAAATGATGAGGAATAGCTATACTATGCAATATAAATATACTATGCAATATGAATAGCTATACTATTGCAATAGTACCTACTATGCATATTCTACAGCGCGAAAACTTCTTACTTATAAATTCTAATAACTTTTTAATCGTTGCGTCGGTTATTAGCAACAGCCATGTATGAGACGCATTTACGAACTATGTGTGGAGACTTCCATTTCATGTCTAGCTAGACGTGTCTAAGTCTTAGATGCGTCTAGCTGGACGTCGGCTGCGTCTAGCTGGCGACGGCTAGCTTTAGACGCGTCTAGCTTGGAAGTCTCCGTCCAACGCAAGCTTGGACGTCTGCTCAGTTAGACGCCAGTTGGACGCCAGTGGAAGTCTCCACCCTATGTGTTACGTGCTAGGTGGATAGCCAAATTTCGATGCGTCCATCATTGAAATCACATTGATTTTATTCAGACCAATTTGCATAAGTTGGAATAGAACGAACCGAGCCAGACTGCAGAGCTCTCGTTAATTGATTATAGCCCGACTGCGTTTTATAGAGCTCAATGGTCCCGTTTAATTTACATTTGACGATGCCCATTGGACGCATCTCCCGGATGTGAACGTCACTGCATTCCGGTGATATTTATGGGGTTGTTTACCAGCGAGCTGTAATGTGTGGTCGGCTTAGCTCATTTACATTCAGCCGAACAGATCGTGACCCTTTCACCTGAGCGTGCAGTCTAAGAGCCGAGGCAGTGAAATCGATCACCACTGCACGCTGTTGACACTTGACTTAGTAACAGAGTGAATAACTTGGATGTGAATGTAAGCCTTTTATCAAGAATCGGTGCTAATAAGCCCGAAATGGGTGAACATGTGAAGCAATTAAGCCATGTTGCAGTTCATCCAAATTCCAATATTTGATAACAGCTGAACATAAACGGACACAGGATTAAAGGTTCCTATTCCCCGGAACTGGTTGAAACACCGCAAAAAAAAAAACATTTTGCGATCGACCTGTCTCGTTCCCCAAAACCAAAGCACTTGCATCTGTAGGCAGCCACAATGTATACTAGATGGAGACGGGTCTGCGAGATAGACGTTTTGATCAGACGCCCGCAAGATAAGTCTCTTTTAACTACAAAAAGAAACAGCTTTATGAACAGTTCTGGAATCACATTATAGGTTATGAGCGGTCAGAATTCGAAGATTTTTAAACGACTTGCATGACATATAATAGCGCTGCCGTCCTGAAAAACTCGAGTTCCGAGTTTCCGCCCTGGAGCCAAATCTTTTTCTCTTGGTCACCAGCCGGCTCGAATCTGCAGCGCTGCAGTCTACAGTCCCTTCATGTCGCCCGCAGCTACCGTCCGGGCTGCTGGGTGACCTTCAGTGCCCTCAGCGGCCTCCCTGCCTCTCCCCTCCCGGTTAGCGTCTGTTGGTACCGCTCCCGGACCGGCCGGCACATTCCGGCTGCCTCTGACCCACGCCGGCTCCCCTCGCATCCCATCAGTATCGCCCGTCGCCGCCGCCACCGTCGCCGCCACTGCCGTCGCCACTGCCGCCGCCGCTGGTCCCAGCCGTGACGTGGCCCGGGACAGCGCTCTCTGACGCCCGTTTCAGCCAAAATCTGCACAGTCACTGTGACTCCGTGCTCCGAGCGGACTCTGCCCAGAGGCGGTGGAGGCGTGGCGGCGGGGGAGCGGCGGATGCAGCGGCGGTTAGTGGCGGAGGTGGCGGAGGGCACGTCCAGAACAGCCGGCGGGTGGCAGCGGCAGGCGAGAGGGAGGGAGGGAGGGAGGGAGGGTGAAAGTCTGCCGAAAGCCGCATTCCGGAGAGCGATGACCTCGGGGGCGGTTCAGCCGTGAGAGCGAGCGTGATGGTGGTGCAGAGGCGCGACTGATGGTCCGGGTATCGCCGGGGGGCACAGACGACCGCAGCTGGCAGCCGCAGCCGACCGAGGCCACCGCCAGCTGCAGCCTCAGCCAAAGCTCACAGCAGCCACAGCCACAGTTCGTCACAGTCACAGTCAAATGGTCTTAACCAGCCATCCAGCCAACATACAGTCACGGTCAGCAACAGCCAGTCACAGCAGCCACTGGACGGTAGACGGTCGGCGGCAGTGGAGAAGGTTGCGCTGAAAAGAAGCTATTTAATTATGAAACGAAACAGGATTATGAGAAGCCTAAAATAAATTACTTGTAATGTTGTCTCTGAACTAAATCGCATCTGTTCATCGGTCCTTCTGCTTTGTATGTTGACTTGTAGTGTCCGTCCTCAGCAATGGGTGTGGGCCCCGTGCCGCCGGTTCTGACATGGGTGTTGACCCGAGCCTCCCCTCTGTGCCCGCAGCCATGGGTGTCGATCTGTACTACATGGACCTGAGCGCCCCGTGCCGCTCGGTTATGCTGCTCGCTAAGGCCATCGGACTGGAGCTCAACCTCAAGGTCACCAACATTATGACTGGAGAGACCCGCACTCCCGAGTTCATCAAGGTGAGAAATGGACCTACACGATTTGCGCCATTTCGTTGTTTTAGCGGCTATTGTCCAACGCATAGGTATCGTTAATATAATCGGGGTAATTGACAAAGCATAAAAATTGTTAATGACATCTTAGTTTTAGGTATTAGCAGGTTTCGTCTTGACTCATTGGAAAGCAAATAATTATGTTTGATCACTTATATGTCATATGTGTAAAATAAATATAAAATATACATAACCACTGCCGCGACCTTTTGATCACCCGTATATTGCCGAAATATTGAAGGCTTTGTGCACTATTCTGCTGCACTCATAGCAGCCTATACTGCACCGCTTAACGGCATTGAACAGCGAGGGTCATTTGAGCTTCCTCGGTTTAATCACCGTCAAACTGCTTCGATCGCGAACTTGTCTTGCAAATGACCGTTTAAAACAGCGTGTCCGAAGTTCAATTGATGTTAAAATCCATAATGATGGACTTTGCAGCTGCTCATTATTGGGGTTTAATCACCCATGTACTCGGTAAGCTCCGGACATTGCAGGTCTTCATGAACGGCGAATTGTGATCGATATTACTCCAGTGGCGTGTCTATCATGAAGGCAATGAGTGATGACACCTCCGTGACTCTCTCCTCTCCCTCTCTCTTTCGGCAGATGAACCCTCAGCACTGCCTGCCTACCATGGATGACGACGGCTTCAAGCTGTGGGAGAGGTGGGTGAACCACTCCGATCCCGTATGGCTGCTCTGTCGATAATTATAATCGAGTGATCGATTTTGGGCCTTGATCACACTCTACTTGTTGCGATAACATTAGAACTGGCATAAATAATGTCTGGATGCATTCGTAATAATTTATTGGCGCGGGGAGTATGCTAGTTATTGCTGATTATTGGATTATTAATCAAGGTTGATGAGAAATGCTGGCCAAAGCTATAACCAAATATGGGTCATTTTTATAGCGTTTGATTTATTGCAAACATTTATAAGCAGCCACTCGCAAAATATTACGACCTGCAGATAACGACAGCCATCCTTGCACCCCTAACCCGACCTCCTCCGTCCACAGCCGCGCCATTCTGTCGTACCTGGCCTCCAAGTACGGTCCGGCGCACCTGTACCCGAGCGACCCCAAGGAGCGGGCCGTGGTAGACCAGAGGCTCTACTTCGACATGGGAACGCTCTACGAACGCTTCGGCAAGTGTGTGGTGAGTGGAGCTGGAAGGTTGGAGCATGGCAGGCTTTCTATTGGTTCGATCATATTTCCCAGCTGTTTACATTTTGTGAACGATCACAGCTGTTTTCCTATGCCGAGGATTCAACGAATTGTTGCTGAATTGCTAATTCTAGTCCCGTGAGACCTCGACCATGAAAGCTGCAACGAATGTGACTGATTTAGCTTATCACTTAGACCGATCATGCCATATTTCCCAGAATTTGTCCCAACTCACCGGATGTTTGCCTGGGTTTTAGATTTGCCTGTCCCTAGTAATAACATGCCTGTATGTGCAATAAAAAAGCACCAGTTGACTTCATTCCGCTTCTTTTACCCCGTTTCCAGTACCCGCTTATGTTCGGAGACGGCAAGATCGCCGATAATGCGCTGGACAACCTGAAGGAGGCCCTCGGCTGGCTGGAGGGCTTCTTCGGCGACAACCAGTTCGTCGCCGGTCCCAAGCAGACGGTGGCAGACTTCGCCATCGCCTCCACTGTGGCCACCATTGAGGTTAGTAGCGGGGGGGGGGGGGGCGAGGGTGAGGGGTGACCGATGTGAAATGAGTACGGTCAAGGCGGGGACATTAGCGTCCTCGTAGCGGACGGTTTTTGGGCCAGCTGAGTTGTCAGATGGTATCGTTCTTGTTAGTTTTTTTTTTCTCATACCGTTCTTTTTACCTCTAACGCTGATTTATCGGCTTCTCTCTACGATTGTCAAGCCGAAGCGTCAGCTATGATGGTTCCGTTTAGTCGGTCTGTTCCGATGTCACGTATACTTGATCTATTCAACTTCCAGTCTTTTTTCCTGGTGCAATATCCTCCCGCTCTTTGGCGCCCAGACCAGGCCCTGTCGATCACACTCCTGGTTGGTGTGTCTCCTGAGGACGTCACCGCGTTGTGTCCCCTGATGACGTCACCGCTCTGTGTCTCCTGATGACGTCACCGCTCTGCGCCCCTGCTGACGTCACCACACCCTCTCTCAGGCCTGTGAGCTGGTCGACCTGGCCGCCTACCCCAAGCTGAGCGCCTGGCTGGCCGCCTGCAAAACGGACATGCCCGGATACGCCGAGCTCAACGGTCAGGGTGCCACCGCCTTCGGCGGCTTCTACAAGGCCAAGCTCAATGCCTAATCTTGCCATTACAGGGTCGTCGATCGTCAATACCAAATGTTATTACGTTTTGTATTTGTTGCTGTTCTAACGGGATGCTTCAAGGACGGCGATGACGTTCTTGTTCCGTACTCACATGCAATTGTTGAAATGATTGTTCATGCTCTTGTGTTATTATCGGCTACTGCACTTTTGTGAAAGACCTTACGTCTCCATATTTAACATTTTCGTACGGTCGTGTTTTGTTTTAATGCATTCCGATCAAGCCAGGCTGTCAAATACAAATTTTGTACAAAAATGTTTTATTTTGCAATGATGACAGGTTCTCGACATATTTACTCTTTCTCCATCGAAATATCAATGCAACTTAATCGCCAGGTGAAAGCATAATAAATACAGTGAGATTCACTAACAGCCTCGCAAAACATTTCATACTTGAGCTGATCACCGCACACGCTGAAATAATATCATGTTTTCACTGGGAGCAAATAACGGGATACGCTATGGAAACGGGAGATGAGACCAATGCAGCCACAAAGCGCGGGAGCAGATACACACAGATACTTGCATGCAACATCAAGCGACAAGCGTGCATATGGTTCCTAAGATTGCACGGCCGCAAAGCCCACACTGTCCAAAGTGCGGGGAATCCTTACGAAGTAGCCTAGTGGCGAAAATAGTACAAAAGGCGACATGATAGCCGCGAGATATTTAAGCGTATGTGGTAGGCGTCAGTGGCAGCGTAGGGTTCCGTCCTTCGCATATATCGACTTATTCGACCAACTGTAGGTCGCACTCGCCCAAATACGCCTAAAAGTCGAATCCACACACGCACAAGAGCACACACACATATGTATATCCATATGCTCGACATGCTTTGATGATTGAAGAATATGGTCGCAAGTGTATGTCACTTGTCACAATTGCTGACGAAAGAAGGCAGCGCATTGGGCGTCCTAACGACAACTGGACAATTGGATTCAATAAGTCGGGGTACTCTTGTTGGGTCCATATAGGACTATATTAGTAGACATGATTTTTGTAGTGTCTTAAGACGGCAGACCAAAAAAGAAGTCTGATTCTGTTCTCGTGACACATAGAACGCTCGCTTCCTGGGTGTGTCAGAACTATCTACACTGCACACTTAAACTGCGTACCTTCTTATATCATCCCAGTCCGGTGTCTATAGTACGCGACTGATACGCCCCTTCCCCGCCCGTCTCCTGTCCTTATAGTCCTTTAGTCTCCCTCCACGCCACATATCTAGTAGTCCACGTGGTTGGGCGCTGCCAGCTCGTAGTCGCCGTCGTATATGGCGAACAGGTCGTTGGGCCGGCTTGGTCGGGCTGGCTCCCGGCTCACTGTTCGCTCCAGGAGGCGCCGCTTGAGCTCGTGCGGACACTTGACTTGGATAAACTCCCTGCCCGTCTCCGGCCGCTTCTCCCTGCCGGGGTGGGTGAGAGGGGGGCAGAGTCAGTTGTGACTCTGACTCAGGGGTAGAGAAGATCGGTCTCATAGGAGGCTAGTTCTGTACCGTAGAATGGCGATCGAGTGCATTTGAAAACAAACAGCGGGAAGACAACACACAGAGCAGCCTGGTGTGGTGGTAAGGAGCATCTGAGTTCAGCTGAGGGAAATTATACAAGACTGCACGGTGGCATGTGACATGAAAATAAACAAATAAAAGGAAAACCCAGGGACGTCAGGCAACAGCATTGTACGTACATAGGTACGTCGACAGCAGCTCAAGTATCTTCTACTTATGCCGTAAGTCTTATTGATAAAGGACGTCTCACCCCCTTTTCTTCTATCTGTCTCCACTCCTAGCTTACTCACCCCCTGGCGAAGCAGAGCAGGTAGTAGAAATAGCAGAGCAGCAGAGTGAGAAGGCAGAGCGCCACGGCGATGGGCCCCCAGGGCAGAGCGCGGTGAACCACGAACGAGCGCTCCCAGTAGCGGTCGCAGGTCAGGTACCAGCAGGTGGCGCCACTCAGCTCCTCTGGGGACAGGCCACAGGCCACAGGTCACAGTGGCGGTTACAGGTCAGGTACCAGCAGGTGGCGCCACTCAGCTCCTCTGTGGGACAGGCAGGTCACAGGTCAGGTCACAGGTCACAGTACCCGCCACAGGTCACAACTGCGGTCACATCTCACAGGCCACAGGCCACAGGTCACAGGTCACAGTAGCGGTCACAGGTCAGGTACCAGTAGGTGGCGCCACTGAGCCTCTCTGGGGACAGGTCACAGGTCACAGGTCAGGTCACACGTCCCAGTAGCGCTCCCAGTAGCGATTTCAGGTCAGGTACGAGCAGGTGGCGCCACTGAGCTCCTCTGGGGACTGGTTACAAGTCACAGGTCAGGTACCAGTAGGTGGCGCCACCGATCCCCGCTGGGGACTGGTTACAAGTCAGATCATAGGTCCGGTAGCTCATAGGTCAGGTCAGGTTAGCCCGTCCCGCAGCTCAGTTGCTAGAGCACCGGACTCCCGGTAGTGAGAGCCCGGGTTTCAGTCGCTCCGGCGCTCGATATTTGAGGCTCCTGACGGGGATGGTCTGCGGTTGGTGGGAGCATCCGCAGCCAGCTGAAGCCAGTTGAGTGGGACAGGCCGTGTCCGGCCTTAAAGGGCACGTTAAACTTTGGCATCTAAATTCTCCCGTTACCCGAAATTACGCGATCAGACGGTAGGGGTTGGGGTTTAAGCAACAGGCTCTGCTTAGCGTAGGCTTCGGCTCTGTTAATCCGTCCATTCATACATTCGATCTAAATAATTTATAAAAAGGTACCAGCAGGTGGCGCCACTCAGCCCCCTTAGCGGGCCATACATGCAAATTGCACGATAATGTCAGCGCCCAGTGCACGGGCATCATCCAACACACTACACATTGCAGCATAAACAGATCGATCAATAATAGGCAGAAACCAAAAGGGTCCGTTTTGCCTCGCAACTTACCACGCATGGCCCGAAACTCGGCCGGCGATAATTGCAAAATGAGCGGTAGCACGCAGTCGGTGATGAGAGTCTGAAATGAAAACAGTTCAACGTGAACACTAACACAATAGCAGGGTTATTCACGGATAGATAAGGCCGCTATATGAAATACTAGATCTATAAACAATCATAATGCGTACTAAGCATGCTACGCTTCTAAATAACGCGATAAAACAGACCCTTGGTGCGAGGTTAGTAACAGGAAGACGTTGTAGAACTTCACGGCCTCGACCTCAGTCAGACCGGATCACCGCTCACCTCACACGTCTTCCTGAGCCGCTCCATGGTGCTGGGGTCGCACGCCGGGTCCTCCACGTCACCCTCCTCGCGCTCCTCCTCACACTCGGCCGTGACGTCATCACTCGCCGGCGGTGTGACGTCACCCACCCACCACCAGGCGCACGGCGTCCACCACCAGCCCTCCGTCCGAGACAGACTCGCATTGTCCGCCGGCCGCCGGCCGGAGCAGCGCTCCGCTCCGTCCGGGCCGGAGCTCACACAGCGCGCACACTGCCCTCTATCGGTCGCGGCCAGCACTCGAGCCTGTGAATATTTCTGCAGGTGGCGCGGGCGAGCCGGCTGGACGGCGCGCCGCGCCTCTGCTGAGGGCGCCACTGTCTCGAGCTCGGTGCTCTCGAGGTCGGCGCGGCTCGAGGTGAGGACGTAGGAGTAGACACTGCAGCGGAGGATGTCGCACAGGTCGGCAGCGCACACCAGCGTCTCATCCTGCGGGCAGACAGGGCGACAATGAGCGTCAAGACGAAAAAGAAGAAAACGGAGAAGGAAGCATGTCCTCATCGTTGGACGTGAATTGAACTGTACAGCGCACACACCTCACGCCTGGTCTTTTTACCATATCCAGTCCTTCCAAAGCTTCACAATCAATCCTTTTTGCACTTTGATCTCCCTGTCTTGCTCCTTGCTTAGGCACTCGAGCCCACATCGTCACATAACTAGACGGGCCGGTACCTCATCGATATTAGACCAGTATAACGTCACTAAACCTTCTACCAAGCCCGAGGTAACTATCCCAGTTTAGAAACCTGGCTGTTTATCGGTAGGGTAAAATATATTTGGATGGCCGTCACATTAAATTTCTAGTCACCTTCAACTTCAACCGCTAACTACCATAGCTCCCCTTCCTATACTGACCTGCCGGTCCGGCGGCGCCGCGTGCTCGGCGCGGTGGTGGTACTCGACCAGCACCTCCCTGCTGAACTGACGGCCGCACACGGGACACCGCCAGCGCTGGCCGTGCCGGCGCCGCGGCAGGTGGGAGTACCGCAGCCGGGCCGGGTGGAGGGGACACTGCAGCGGCAGCGAGACGTTGTACCGGGATACCACCGGCAGCCAGCGCTGCGGGGAGGGGTAACTGTCAGGGTACAGTGTGATACCGGGTACGGAGGGCTGATGATAGGGTCTAGGTCTCGTCCCGCATCTACCCGTATGGGTATGATTATGTCTGGCTTAATGCAAAACTTTATACGCAACAGGTTAGTAAAAATCACACCCATCCTCAAGAAAACCGAACGTTCGGGTCATTTCGTCAAGGACGGTCGTATCCTGAGCATAGCTTTGAGAGCGTGTCGTGTGCAGTGTGGAGGCCAGCGCGGAAGTTAGAGCAGTTTCCATGTTTAATTAATGTGTCCGTGGTTGGGGGGAGGCGGCGGCAGGTGGCGCCCCTCATCCCTGACGGGTTGCGTGCCTGCGGCTGCCTCAAACAAAACCACTCCGCTCCAGACGCGTGCATCGATTGAGTCCCTAACTCAGAGGGTTCTCACCGACTCGATGATCTTTCTGGCGACATAGGAGCGTCGGACGGAGCAGGCGTGGTGACCTGACCTCGGGTGGGGGCACGGCACGACCTGAGTCAGCAGCAGGACCCACACCTGTCGGTGCCGACACACAGTCAGCTGGGGGGGATACGGGGCGGGGCCGTCACACCATACTCCGCTGAGTACACACAGGACACTCGTCATCGAGTGTATCGTACACACGTGATAGGAGTATCATTGATGTAAAAACGCCGCCGCCCAGCTGAGAGTTGACAATCAAAACATTACGTTATCAGCTAAACCATACAGCACTGACCACAGCACAGAAGCTACAGATGTTTTTGATAAAACGTGACAAAAAGCATTATCCTTTCAATCACGACACATGCCACGCCCACAGAGCAAACACATCGCCTAGCTGCCAATCACAACACCCAAACCAAACACCATCCGTCACGCACCGCCACCAACACAAACAACAAACAACATCCCTCCCTCTCCCACCCCGCCCCACCACCCAGTGACCGTACCACCCCATTCCACCCTCGATTACCCCCCACCCTACCCCGAACACTCACCAGAAGAGTCTCAGCCGGCGCGGCCATCCATGGACCCGCTCCGCCGACCACCGTCCGTCGTCTCCCCGTCGACGCCGACGCCGACGCCGACGGGCATCGATTCTCGGCGCGCGCCACTGGAGGACGCCGCCGACGGGGGCCGGGGAGGGAGGGGAGGGGAGGGTGTTGCACAGCGGGGAGGGAGGCACGCCCCACTGGAGGACGCCGCCGACGGGGGGGAGGGGGGAGGGGAGGGTGTTGCACAGCGGGGAGGGAGGCACGCCCCACTGGAGGACGTCGCCGACGGGGGGAGGGGAGGGGAGGGGAGGGTGTTGCACAGCGGGGAGGGAGGCGCGCGCCACTGGAGGACGCCGCCGACGGGGGAGGGGAGGGGAGGGTGTTGCACAGCGGGGAGGGAGGCACGCCCCGCCGAACACGGAAGCGCGGTGGACGGGGTGGTCGTGAAGGGTCGGGGGCTGTGGTGGAGTGATGTATATTGATGCAGTGTCGTAACTATTGAGACTTTGAAGAGACTTGTTGAAGTTAGCAGTGGTGATTGAAATGAAGCCAGTCGTTCTCATTTGGATTATGAATGTTTATATAAAGTTCATAGTACTACTAGTTGGATCCTCCTCTTTTACAAGCGTGGGCGGTGCTTCATAGCATCCAGCCATATCGACGGCCCAGCTGATTGGGTTCGATTTCTGGGGATAAATAATTGAACGGCCGACGACTGATGTAACTGATGTCCCAGGCCGATCGGGCGACTGTCAGCCACTCGGCCGGTCAATATTTATCCTCCGACGCCGCTGAAACTCGGAAACTCGGCGACTGAGCTCCGTGAAACATTGGGGTTATACGGCCTCGACAATGGACGATACAGTCAAAGTACGCTAGTAAAACGAGACTCTGAAGCTACGATGGCGCGTAACATGGCAGGCTCCGTCACATATTTCCAGCTCCCAAAAGCTAGATGGCAGACGTCATGTCACTAGTGATAACAGGTCATTTACACCCAAAGCTTCATGCTTTGATCTCCACAACCTTATTCATACATTTATCAAAAAGTTATTTATTTAATCAGGAGCCGGGACTTCATTATACATCATTCAGTTTCATCTGTTTAGCACGTATTTATTTTGATTTGGTTGGCAGAGGTCTCTCCTGGGTTTGACACGTCATGAAGACTGAGGCGTCGCCAGTGTTTTGTCAAGTGTTCGTCTCCAGAGCTGCCATCCACGTAACGTCACCTCGTCAGAATAAAACCGCTAGGACAGTTATCCGACGTTGAACGGAGGACAGCAGACACTGACATCTCACACATACCCAATGGCTGTACCAGTAACTAAAATTAGAGCGATGAATGGAATAGGAGGAGGCAATTTCAACGACAAATTATGCGTAACTCACAAACATCTCAGAAAATTGTTAAATTTATTTCTGTGTAGAGCAGGCCTCCCTAAGATCGGGCGACAATTTGTGACAAAGCATGACTCACTTCAAAATCACAGAGGGTTGCAACAAGGCGGGAGGACGTCTCCTAAGAGCTAGGAGGGAGCGAAGCCCAGCGTAAGCCTTCTACGCCGCACACATAAAGCCGTTCACAGCAAGACTTTTAACCAGGACCAATGCACAATTCGCGACTGCGAATATCGCAAACACGCGAGCAAACTAAGCACTGTACACCACCCAACAAAAGGCATATTAATTGCGTATCATCTGAGCTAAAAAAGAACAGGCCCGCCTTCAGCTATGGTGGGAATCTCGAAAAAAAACTTTGTGACGCGCAAAAAGCTACGATATAACACATCGACAATCAATGCTATGTGACTACAAATAAACATTCAACAGCTATCATAACAAGCACTCTCAGCAAAACACACAACAGAAAAGGCACGAGGTTCGGACGAGAGTCGGGGTAGCGCGGCAGGTCAAGCCGCATCGCATCAGCAAGCGAACATTATTGCCTTAATCAGTGAGGAAAACAAAGTCCTTCGCCAGCGTGATCTATGAGAACGATGAAACTGAAATTAAAACCATGCACGTGTGCCATTACTACCAGACAGTATCCCAAGAAGACTTTGCAATCTGACGCACCGTTTTGGTTTTGAACAGGAGGAAGATAGTGCCGCCTCTTCAAGGGAAGGGCGACACCAGTTGTACTGCGTTAAAGAGCCGCTAAAATCTAGCACGGTATTGTCTCGGGAAACGGTACCAGTTATAGTGGCTGGAAGAGGAACAGGCTGAGATGTTTACGGGGAGCGCAGCATATAGCATACATCAGGCAAATATATGGGGCACGGCTTTGTTACTTTAAGCTTGCTTGATAAAAATAACTATCATCCATATTGTAAGGCATACCCATCCCATCATTCCTAGAGTAATTCCACTATCGGTGGAAATCCATAATATCTCACACACTTCTTGCAATCAACCACCAGCGGAAAAGCCCCTACACCGCACTCCAAGGCGACACACTCACCGATAGAAGAAGCGACACTCCAGTCTTATCTGCAAACACTCTGCTGCGTAGCGGGCAATATCATTTGCGGGAAGGCGCACCGACGCACATGTGATTGCGGTTTCGCGTGACACCAGCGTCCCTCACCGTCACTGACCCGCTGGTGTAAAAGCTTCCTGGGACGCAACAAAGTCACTTCTCTCACCAACGGATAGCGGGGTGCTGGGATTCTCTTCCATCCTGCACGCCACAGGGGTTTTCTGAGTCCCCTCTGCTCAGAGCGTCCCGCGACACAAGTCCGCACCGCCCACCACACCACCAGGCTAGTTCAGAGCATTTGTCCGCGCGTGGGGCTCTCTAGCGGTTCAACCACCGCTGTGTCTGTCCTTCCGACATCATCTCAGACTAGTGTTTCGCGGCGGTCTCGGCTCGACTCACGTCCAGCTGTTCCTTGACCTTCTGGAGCCCCTCTTTGGCGGCCTTGACCTCCTGACCGCGGCCGGCCGACTCCAGGCGCCGCTCGCGCTGCTCCAGGCTGCGCTCCAGCCGCTCCAGCTCCTGGACAGTCTCCTGCTGCACAGCCTCAGCCTGAGGGAAAACGAAGAGTCAGAAAACCAGTGGCTACCAGGGACCAGCGTGAGCAGCTCGGCAGAGGTCCATAGTAGCAATAACAGCCACAACTGCAGTTGCATGATAACGACAGTAATACCGTATCAGAAAAAGTGATAAGCACGCACACGAAAGTAAGCACCAAACAAACTTTGCAAGTCCACCAGCACACTTCCATCTATCTCCGAGACCCCGCCCACGTCCATTCCCGGCACTGACCTGTTTACTATCGCCGTGCCTAGTGTTGTACAGCTGCGCCTGCAGGGCCTCCGTAGAGGCTATCAGCCGTCTGCAACAACAAACAGAGCTCGGTCAGCGCGGAGTCGGACATTCCGCTGACCCAGCCGGGCCTGAAATATAGGGCTGGTGGGTTACAGTTGGGTGAGAGGGAATGGCTGCGGTGCTGGCTAAGGTGTTACCATAGCTCCCTTGCAGCACTCGCCAAATATAGACTAGACAGAGCAGTATGAAGTTGAGTTCAGGGAGCTTTCTCACCGACAGCTAAACTCGTACCTAGTATGTGGTTGTTTAGGGGGCGAGAGAATAGGGGCAAGGATCAGGCTATACGCCTCTTATTTCGAAATTCGAGTAAAAATATGTATCCCACGTCGCTTAGATATATGTGGGTCCAGAATTCTACCCCATATTTCCCTGTGCCACCTGGTGACTCGGACTAACGTTTCAGCTCCATCCTGTTCGAACCGTGTGTAGTGGCCGATTTTGTGGCCAGCTATCGATGTATCGACGACTGAACGCGTGACCGGCGGCCGGCCTCCTAACAGCTTCCCCTCGGCCGCGCCGCGAGTTCAATAATTGAGCAGCCGGGCAGGCAGTCTCCCTCCCTGCTGCTCGTTTCGTGGAACAGCCATTGGTAGTCGTAAAGCAGGAGCAATATCAGTGCATGCCTCAATCAATAGTAAAATGTAATGATATATTTTACATTTTCCCGCCCTATTAGAGCCTCTGGTCCTATTAGAGACAGAAACGAGCAAATTGTAGCTATCCGCAAATGCGTGACAGTGGCAGAATTTAACGGCCAGTCGATTTCGGCTTTTTGCTAGACTGAGGAAGCTAAAAGTTTCGGAGATAAGTATTAACGTATACGACCCATTATCGCATCAATCAGTAACAGGTAGCGGCAAACCGGTTTACATGATACCATCACTAAACCTAGCATGGGTCTGGAAAAGATCTGTAAAAAAAAAACATCTCGATGGGACCGACACTGGTTGGCGAGCGTACCCCAGAGACCCAGCCTATTTTCACGTGATCCAAACGTATATTCCAATTCGCAGGCAATGCCAAACCTGCCTGAGCTTTTACGTTCCAACATCGCAAGACACCTCAGCTACATGAATATGACCCCTCTCCCTCCCCAGCTTAGCTACATGACACGCACCGAGCCTTGTCACACCCCACCCACAGCCACCCCACGCACCCCCACCGCTGACCCAGAGTCAGACAGCACGGTCAGACCACTCCAACGCAGCTCAGACGGCAGCGCCCACTCAGCGGGATCGTGGTGACCTCTCAAATGTGACCGGACACCACGCAGAGGTACCCGACACCGGGCGGCCGATCAGAGGGCTACACGGGCTCGTCGGCACTCCTCTCAGACAAGACTTATTCTAAACTTCACTAACACTTGCGTACGGCTTGCACGCATGGGAGTGATTGATTAGACCCTGCGAGACCTCGCACGGGTCTCAGAGTGTGACCGGGACATCCAGGGTTTTTCGCCCATTGGAGAGCCCCTGAGCGCCCAGCAATCTTCGCCGCTCCATCAGGTGCTCAGCTAGCACCTAATCACTCTGGCGCCTGTCAATATCCTCTCCCATCCATCTCTCTCAGCAAATCACAGCGCTTCCGCAGCCCCATCAGCTTTCTAACGACCCCCCCCCCCCCGGCCCCCCCTTCCTCCCCTCCCGCCCAGTACACACTCCACAGCCCATCAACAGCACCCCTAATCAGTATCTCACGCGGACCGTATAAGGCCACCAGCGGCCGCGGCGGCCCACCACGGAGCTACCGGCGACTGACGGGTCGGGCTGGAAACTGGTCCCCCACCCTCCCCCACCCCGCCCGGCAGGAAACTGGCCGGCTACTGGTTTTGGGTTTAGACGCATTACATCACCCGCACGTCAGTCGATCGGGGGATACAGGTATGCTGGCGACAGAGGCTCGGCGAGTTTTGGAAATGCACATTTGAGCGTATTTTGCCCCACGCATATTTGAACTTTCTTTTGGTTCGGAGGAAGGGTAATTTGAAATGTAGGTCTAAATAAGTGAATGCGTGGGTTTTCTCATCACACCGTAGGCATTCATAGCCGTGAGAGAGATTTGTAGCCAATATTGTCAACACCAACCCCAAACACTGGGTCAGGGTCACATGTGTTGGCTAATTAGCGACACAGGTCGGATATACGTTTACATACACACGCGGCCAGCATCGCTACAACGGTGCCCATCAATGCTGATGTGTTCAGCCTTCAGCTACCCATATTCACATTGACAAATTTTCCACCCCTGAGCCGTAGAACGTAGCAAGATTGGCTTAAAATTTCAAAGGATAAGTACTGAAACGGGTGATAAGTCAAAGACTGAAGATGAGCCTTCGTCAGGATAAAAAGCGGTGTTAACGCTCCAACAACTGTGACGAATAGTCGGTAGCCACTGATAATCCTTTGACCAAATACTATGCCAAAAGAGCAAATAGTACGAGCCGTGTCAATCGATTAGTTACGAGTGCCACTTGAAGAACCCACTTCAATTGTACGATAAATAGTTGCTGGGATAGCTGACGGGTAAGCTCCGGTAAATGAGGCCTCCTTTTGATGATCGCTTGTCCTACATATTTTTTTTTATTCAAGGTTCCCTCCAACGGGCTCGTATCGTCCCAATTACAGGAGAGCTCCTCCTCCTCCCGACCCTCATTACCCACCCCCCAGGCTACGGCTGAAGTGGGAGCCTACCCCACACCTGGTGACACAGCCGGGGACGACGCCCGCGGAACGGGCGGAACCGGGAATCGAACCCGAATCCGGCACCGCCCGCACCGCGGGTCGACGCCTTAACCGACTGCGCCACCAGGGCCGATTTCAATCGTAGCGCGTTTCGTTCCAGTTAAACAGGGTCTAGTAACTGTCTCGCCTTAGTTCAGGGCGACTTAAAAGTTAGGTTCAAAAGTTGCGCAGGTTTTCAGTTCCAACCAGCTAGTGTTTAGACTCTGACGGCGCCACGTCATTTGGAGTCGACCAGGCCGGTCAACTAAGGATCAATGACCAGTCGCTGGAAATACGTCTGGAGGGATATCGCCTTACGCTCCGTGACCACGCTCTGCTGACTGGACTGGGGGCCGGGCATGGCATGCTTTCAACAGCCGTGATCAGTTACACTCAGAAAACGTTCGCTCTGAGCACAGCTTTAACGAGCTACCTAACGCGTATAATCACGAAGGGATAGGGGACACAATAAAACTTCAGACCACCGATAACCTGGTAAATGACTCCTCTACACTAAAGCACTATAATAAAAAATCAGCGGACAACATTTTACGATGAATGACATCATGAAAAGCTAATATCTTTAGTGTCGGGTAAGTACGCAATCAGTGGCCACAAATAAAGCTGCATGTATTTATTTGCAAGCTACAGGTGTTACCCATCTATCTATAGCACCCCCAGAGCCGGTCGGCACTCACCTCAGTTCCTCTCCGTCGTCCGAGTCCTCCTGGTCGGGGTCGGTCATCCCCGCCAGTGAGAGGCTCTTCCTGGCCGGCTCCTGGCGCTCGGGGGAGGCGCGCGCGGCGGCCGGCGGCGCACTGTGAGTCGTGCCCGCCCTCTCCGCCACCAGCGGCTGCTCCGCGCCGGTCGGGCTCGCTGCGGAGGTGTCCTTACTGGAGGGAGGCGCAGAGGCGGTATGTGACGCCTGCGCGGGACGGATCAGGTCCTCGAGAGGCTCGGGCTCCGTCCGCTTGGTGTCCTGCTTCGTGTCCGACTTCTTTTGGCCAGTCTTGTCACTGTCATCGTATAGCACATCTCTGACGCCGTGCCCGTGATCGGGAACGCTACCTCGGGTGTCTCCCTCTTTCGCGTGCTTCTTCTTCCTTGACCTCCGCTTCTTCTTGCCGCCTGCCTGGCCTGCAGCCTGAGACTGGTGCGCTGTTTCTGCGGATATCTCGTCCTCTTCCTCCTCCTCGGGACTGGGCGACCGAGAAGAGCTCTTCTTGGCGGGAGCAGCGGCGTGAGACACAGCAGCCTTCTTGGGCTGAATGAGATCGTCCAAAGGCGCTGGATCCCGCGCCTTTGAGTCGTCCTTGGATTCCGATTTCCTCCGACCAGTCTTGTCTTTGTCGTCGTATAGCACATCCCTTACACCGTGTCCGTGATCTGGTACGCTGCCTCGGGTATCTCCCTCCTTCGCTTGCTTCTTCTTGTTTGCATTCTTCCCACCGGCTGGGGCAGCCGCTTGTGACTCATGCGCCGTGCTCGCCGTGACTGCTTCTTCCGTCTGCTTGGACTCAGGACTGAATGAACGCGCGGCCGGAGCAGCATGAGATGCTGCAGCCTTCTTTGGCTGGATGAGGTCATCAAAGGCGGCTGGTTCTCGATGTTTGTCGTCGCCCTTGCTTTCGGAGGGTGTCTTTTTCCGACCGGTTTTGTCGCTGTCGTCATAAAGCACATCTCTCACACCGTGCCCATGGTCGGGAACACTACCTCGGATGTCTCCTTCCTTTGCATGCTTCTTCTTTCTCGACCTCCGCTTTTTCTTACCACCTGCCTGGCCGGAGGCCTGTGTCTGGTGCGCTGTCTCTGCGGATATCGACTCCTCCTCTTCATCCTCATCCCCCGAGCTTGGCGCGTGGGCCTCACCCGGGGCTGCATGTGACGCTGCTGCTTTCTTCGGCTGGATCAGGTCCTCCAGGGGAGCAGGCTCGTGAGACTTAGAGTCATCTTTCGAGTCCGACTTTCTGCGGCCAGTCTTGTCGCTATCATCATACAGAACATCTCGAACACCATGCCCGTGGTCTGGAACACTGCCTCGGGTGTTCCCGGGCTTCTCCCGGTGTTCATCCGTAACCTTCTTACCAGATGGTTTGCCAGCCTCGGTAGTGGATGCTGCTTGAGCCACAACCGTCTCTTCCTTGTTGGAGGAAGGCGGAGCAGATGCCGTCGTTGACGCCTTAGCCGGCCGAATCAGATCGTCAAGAACGGCCGGTTCGCGGGACTTGGGGTCCTCTCGTGGTGCAGAAGGTTTGGTGCCAGTTTTGTCTTTGTCGTCGTAGAGGAGATCCCGCAAACCATGTCCATGTTCCGGCACACTGCCCCGAGTGTCGCCCTCCTTCGATATGTGCTTGTCCAGCGCCGGTTTGGGTTTGGTCGGCGCAGCAGTTGTCTGAGAGGCAGAGACGGCGGAGACGATTTCTTCCTCAGCATGAACAGGAGGCGCAGAGTCCACGGCACTCGCCTTTTTGGGGGCTGCAACAGGTTCATCTACCGGCAGTCCGACAGCAGACTCCTTACCAGATTGTGAGCTACTGAGGAAATCATCAAAGGCGGACAGCTCGCCTCCTGTCGATTTCTTATCGGCAACTTCTTCCGGTTTATCAACAGTTTTGTTTTTGTCTCCAGCAGCGTCAAACGATCCACTCAGGAAATCATCAAAAGCAGCGAATTCTCCGCTGGAAGGTTTCTTATCTGTTGATTTCTTGTCTGCATTTTTATCAGTTTGTTTATCCTCTGAGGCTTTGTCAGTGTCTTTCTTTGAATCGTCCACAGACGCAGCATCTTTGCCCGATAAGGATTCGACAGGTTTGTCTTTTTTACCGTCACCGGACAAGGAATCACCAATGAAGTCATCAAATCCTGAGAATGCTCCGGCGTCGGGTTTCTTCACGGACGTTTCCTTCTCAGGCGCAGTGTTGTCTTGCTTAGCATCTGACTTTTTCGTCGCCTTGCCGACGAGCAGATCATCGATGTCCCAGTCGGGCGCCTGGCTCGGAGCGTCCTTGTCTCGCGGTTTGTTCATCAGCGCGATCATCGCCTCATCATCTCCGTCACCGGTACGCCACGTGTCCTTCTTCATCAACTGCTCCTCTTCGACAGGAGGTCCTGTGGGAGCCGCTGTCCGCTTCTCCGGCACTGTGTCCATCATGTCCAGGAACTTGTCCATGTCAGATGGAGCAACCTCGGGCGCCGCAGAAGCCTTGGCGACAACGGGCTCGGATTTTGGCATTGCAGACATGTCAAAGCCCTTTGCTAGGTCCATTAGGTCATCTAGGCCAGCATCCTTTTCAGCAGGTTTCTTTTTAGCTTTTGGCGAATGTTCTTTCTCAGGAGTTTTGGATTTGGATATCGGTGGTTTGGGTGCGGTGTCGATTTGTCCCATGAGGAAGTCCAGGTCAGCCGTCTCGTCCTTGGGGGCGCTGGGCCGATGAGCACGTTCCTCTCGGTCTTTCTGAGAAATTCCACCCAATCCCAGCTCACCACTGTCAGTATCACCGTGCCGCCACGTCGAAGTCTTTTCAGCCTTAGGTTCTAGAGCATCGCCGGCAAAATCATCCCCTTTCAGATCGCTAGCTTTGTCCTTCTCTTTCGAATCTCCAGAACCAGCTTTTGCGTCGCTTCCAACAGCATTCTTTGCATTATTGTCCTCTTGTTTGTCATCCTTCTTTACACCTACCGAACGCTGCTTTTCATCATTGGTTTTCACATTATCGCCTTTGGCACCTCCCTTTTCATCGGAGGTCTTCGATTCATCTTTCACAGAGACTGCCGAGGACGCTTTGTTATCTCCTTTCTCAGAATCAGTCTTCTTTTCGTCTGGTGAGCTAATACCAGAATCAGTCTTCTTTTCGTCTGGTGAGCTAATACCGGAGTCCTTATTCGACTCATTTGTCTTGGATCCGTCCGGGTTGAAGCCCTCCATAGCCCCCATTAAGTCATCAAGTCCACCTCCCAACGCAGGGGCTTTGGTTTCGGACTTGGCGTTGAGGCTGCTACTTACTGTAGACGTCACAAGCTCCTCTTCTGTGGGCGGTTTGGATTCAGACTTACTTTCTTTCTCCTCTTTAGCATTCGCACCGTTGGTTTTACCAGCTTCGGTTTTAAATCCTGACATGGCATCCATCAAATCGTCCAGTCCCTTCGCAGCTTCTTGCTTGGGTGCGGGTTCAGACTTCGTGGGATTTTCAGCAGTCCGTTCCGATTTCTTTGGGCTACCCGGAGCTCCAACGGACTTCTTGGGATTGCTGGAAACGCCAGTGGTCTTTTTGGGACTGCCAGGTGTTTCGGTTGCCTTCTTGGGGTTGGTAGGAGACTTGTCAGACTTCTTGGGACTACCCGCTCGTGGCTTGGCTGGCGTCTTCACTCCGCCGAACTTTGCGGCAGCGGCGTTGAAAGCTGAGCCGGTGACGCGACTGGCGGCGGCCGGCGGGCCCACCGTCTCTCCCGGTCCCGGCCGAGATCGCGGCTCTGTGCGCAATCCAGCGACTGCTCCCGCTCCTGTCTTGCTAGTGGCTCGACCCCGACCGGCGGGCTCTGGCAGCGGCTTTCCATCAGTAAACCACTGCTTCTTCAGCGCCTCCTTCCGCTCTGGAGTGAGCGCCTGATTAGACCGCCCGGCAGCAGCTGTACCTCCCAGTCGGGGTGATGGCGACTTCTTGGTCGAATCTCCCGGCGATGCGTCGGTTCGAGACGACGGCCGTTGGGTCTTTGGTGGCGAGGCGCCCCTCCCGGCTGGGGACTTGTCTGGGGATGTGCGTCCTTTCTCCGGGGATGCGCGTCCTTTCTCCGGGGAGGCGCGTCCTTTCTCCGGGGAGGCGCGTCCTTTCGTTGGTGACACACGTCCCTTTTCAGGTGAGGCGCGGTCCTTACCAGCCGAGGCGCTGGCCCCACTCGGAGGCTTGGACGTGGAGGCCGAGCTCGTTGATGCACTCGCACCCGCAGGCTCTGCCGCGGCCGAAGTGGAAGATGAGGTGGATGCCCCTGTCGCTGGGCTTGCCGCAGGCGCCGGAGCGTCCGTGCCGTTCTTACTCTTGGTGTTGCGTTTGAACAGAGAAGTGCGGAGAGAGCTTCCCACTCCCCTTTTCGACTCTTTCTTGGCTCCGGCGCCCGAACTGGGGCCAGCAGCGGACTCTTTGGAAGACGGCTTCCGACGAAGGAAGCTGGCTACGCCTCCCCCGGACTTGGACTTGGCCTTGGCCTCAGCGGTGTCGGCCGGAACCGTTGACGCCGTGTGCGTCGATGACGCCGATGCCGTCGATGGCGCCTTTCCGGCTGAGCCAGGCGTCGTGCTCAGCCGGGCGCCCATACTTCCCTTCCCAGAGGCGGCACCGGCGGGCTTCTTGTCTTTCTCTTTCGCGGTGGCAGCGGACGACGTGGGCGGCGACTTGGCCGTGGGCGTGGCACTACTGTTTGGCGGATTCTCCTTCGGCGTTACATTGGACGGAGAGCTCGTGGGCATAGTCGAGCCTGGAGCGCGAGAGGAGAGATGGGGAGGACACGAGCCGCCCGCGCGCTACCATCCAGCACCGCTCGCGCACCTCACGAGTCCACTGTGAGCCACGTGACCGACGGGCACGCCCTCCTGTCTATTCCTCAGCACAGCACTGCGCTCGGAGTCCACTCCGCCCGGCTCCGCACACAAAAACCGGTCCGACCGCGGTGCAGCCTCAGCGCCGGGGGCGATCGGCGACCGGCGCGCTTCGTGGAAGGTCGTAGGGGGTGGCGGCGACGCGGTGGGTCGCCGGACGTCTCTGGCAGATCACTGCTGGTCGTCCGCCAGTCACCTGTGGAGTCAGACAGATCGGTCAGAGCCGGCCCGTCGGCGGCCGCCCCACCCCGGCCGACACTGCGCGGGAGGGACACGATAGGCATACCGTCGGACCCGGGTCATTACACGGCGCCACGCCCATCACACGGCCCGCGGCGGTGACGACGCTAACCACAGCGGGATGACGTCATTCTGTCGATGACATCACCGCCACCAGAGAACAGTCTATAACGGCGCGGCCTCAGCCCAGTGAGTTCAGCGTGACGTAACGGGTCTGACGTCACACCTGACTGCCGACCGGGCGCGGCAGCCCGACGCCAATATCCGGTGATTGAGGCGCGGCAGTGGAGCCGGTGACCGCGCTGCAGCAGCTCTCCATGGCCGCGCTCCAACACGGAGCTTCCAGCGCCGCCAGCCAGCCGGGGAGTGAACAAACAGGCAGGGGGCCGACCCCGACCCGACCCCGGCGCGTCAGAACCAGTCACAAACAGTGTGACATCACACGGCTCGGCGTGCACAAACCGTCCGCACCGACCTGTTTATGCAGTCAACCGGCCAAATCGGGAGTGGACAACAGCTGTCTATCGGTCGGAGATGACCCGGTCAGGCCGCGGCAGGTCGTCTCGCGGGGAGACAGCACGCCACGGCAGGTCGTCCTGTAAAGACAGCACGCCACGCTAGCCCCGGGCGGCGGGCGGGTGGGCGGGCGGCGTCTGGCCTTGTCCTACCTCCCACACACTCACGGTCTGCTGGCTGGCCGCGGGGCGCGCCGACCGGCCCGTGGGAGTTCAGTGAGCGCGCCCAATGCCCAAGGCAGTGGGCATCAGCCGCCCGTGATCGGTACCGTCCTGTGGCGGTCACACGGAGTGACGCAATGAAGTCAGCTGACAGCGCACAAGCCAGCTGACAGCGCCCCAGTCAGGTGACAGCGCCCCTGGCAGCTGCGGTACTTGGGAGTGACAGGACGCCAGCCACCTAATCAACTCTGATGGATGCCGTGTTTCGCGCTTCATGTGTTCATATGACAAGGAAAATGGGCTAGGGAGACGTCACATTTGTTTGATTAGCGAACAAAATTGGTAGCAATAAAAAATGCAACAAACATTTGTCTACCAAGAAACGAGCGAGCCATCTCCAAAAACCTTCCAAAAGGAAACAGTTGGACGAAAAGACAAGACGGTGTGGCAGCGCCACGCTGCTACAACGGAAACCATCCGCCATTATAGCCCGCATCGAACAATCGCCCTATCGAGTCAAACAGCCCAAACCCCGGTCCCTAAATTGTTACCGTTTCGTGCGTGCCGCCGCCGTTCGCGGCCGGCACAGGTGCGGCTGGCGGCGCCAGGCCGCAGCCCCGGTCTGCGTCGCCGGCCGCCGCGTCACACAGCAGTCACGAAACCGTCACGGAACAGTCACGAAACCGTCACGCTCGACACGCAGCTGTGCGGGCGCGGCACACCGTTCCGGCCGGGCCTGCCGCCGCCCGGGCCGTCAGCGACCGACTGAGGGCGACGGCGGCGGCGGGAGCGGGAGCGGGGGCGGGGCAGGTGAGCCGGCCGCCACAGCCGAGGGAGCGGCACCCTACGGCGAGCCGGGCAGAGAGAGGAGACGGGGAGAGCGGAGGGTAGAGAGGACAGCAGAGTGGGTGCAGAGAAAAACTGCAGAAGGATAAAGGGGATACGCGAGATGAGCGAAGAAGGAAGGGACGAAAAACCGCCGGCACAGTATGGGAGGAGGGAGAAACGACGGCCAGGGAGAGCTGGGAAAGAGCCAACGTCGCGGTGGATTCAGCTCACTCCTCAAAATACCGCGGCCTGACCCGTGTCACGCCCCACACCTACGGCCGGTGACGTCACCGGTGATGACGTCACCTAGTGCAGGAGTACCCGGCTGTCTGAGGTGGGAGGAAGAGACGTGGGTAGCAGCGGGGTGTCACGGCGCGCCCAGAGATGGACGATCTGTCAGACGGGACGCCGCCACAGCCAGCTGGGTCATCGGATACCGCCGAGCCAACAGTCGGGGGACGGAAGACTCCCGAACTGGCCCGTGGGCTACATCAGACGACAGTAAATCACCAAGCTGTTAGGTCGAGTAAATAAGCAGCGCTATTGCTGTAATAAACACAGCCATCCACGGTGCGATAGAGGCATTACCAGGCCAGACAATCCACACCTGATACGTCCGGTCTATAAAGTCAGCCGTCAGGTGAACTACCTATCAACATCGACAGACGACGGAGCCGGTACAGACGCTATCACCGACCGCTGGCGAAGCTGCGACGGGCTCAGACAGGCGCAGTGGTCGCAAGACGCCGTCGGCGGTCAGCGCGTGCTGTGCAGACCAATGACAAACGATCTCGGCAGGCAGGGGTGACGCCACCATCACCTCCGCCGCCGCCGGGAGCTGTTTACCACTGTGGTCATGTAGGTAACCCGGTGTCGGCGCTGACACGGCAGCTCGTGCACGGCGCGTGCAGACCGGCTGACACAGCGCCAACATGTTACCGGGATCGCCCGTCCTCAGGGGGATGGTCGATGCAATTGTAAGTTGCAACAGTGGGAAGGCAGAGGCTTTTAGGGGTGGAGATGTCAAAAGCTTGGACTGGAGGTGGGTCTGACGTAGAATACACCACTCTGTGTGCCTAACTTGTATGTGCTGATGGCGAAATCAGTAACCAAGATAGAAGGTGAAGTGAAAGTCCGAGACGGAGTGCAAACAGGGACCTGCATCAACACAGCGTCCCATTTGCAAACAATGACGGCCGGTCATCGAAACCATCGATAAAGACTCGCGCGACCAGACCCGGAGTTTCAGGAACGAATTTCAAACGACGCTTGTTTTTTCGTCAGGCAGGGTGAGCTTACCGTTGCAGACTAAGCTTGACGCGCAACGTTTTCCTGAACTGGTCTTTGAATCTACATCAGCATCATCACAAACCTGACTTCCACCCAATCCAGGTAGCGTTCAGGCAGATTGTGTACATCGTCCCCCCCCCCTCCACTCCCACACTCACCACGGGTGGGTGGACATTTAAGTGCCTGGGGGCTGGCTCCGTTCCGTTTCGTGTTTGATCTGTTTGTGGACACAGCCGCCGGAGACCGTGAGTGGCCATCAGCCGGCCGGCCAGCGAGCCAAGTAAGTTGGGCCGTGCAGCGCAACTCCGCAAAACACACGCCCCGGGCTATGGAACCGCTGCCAATACTGACAACGCATTGCGCAACAGCCACCGGGCAATTCGTAAATCTATCAGATTGATCTTCATTTTGGATTAGGAAGCCCTAAATCTTAAAACAGTTAGGATTACTAGGGAAACTTTCCACATAACAAAAGGACTGCCAAGAAGCTAAAATAGTCTTATTTCTCCAGTTTCAGTTGGCATTGCCAGGCGATCAAACTAACGAGCAAAACCAGCAGCAAAACACACGGCAGCGTTCCTCAAATATCACAAAAACTATATCTCGCCTGTCTCCTCGGCTATTTCTCGTCAGTTAGGCTCACTTTAGTAAATCACCTACAAATACGAGGTGATTTATTACAGGCACAGAGTTCGCACAGTTCGCATTCAGGTCAGGGGGAGGGGAGTGGCCATTCAATACGTCCCTCACCTTCGCGTCATCGTCTCGTCTCCGTCTCCGTCTCCGCCTTCGTCTCTGTCTCCGTCTCCGTCTCCGTCTCTGTCACCGTCGCAGTATCCGGGTATAGTGTCGGCCGGTGTGATCCTGACCCGCCGGTCTCTCTGATAAGATAGCGTTGATCCGACGCGGAGGCAAACACCACCTGAAGCCGTGTGCGCACTGCGCCCTGAGCCCCAGGCTTTACGACACCGAGCAGATCGACGTACCGGCGTGTCGTATAACGGACCGATAGCACGACCACGGCCGGAGGTGGAACCGTGCGAACAGAACGTACGGAATCGACTGAAAAGGTAGACTGGTAATGATCAGACTGACAAACTAGACTAGACGAAGGGTCTGATAGTCACCTCACCATCGAAGTAAAATTATCTGTGTTGGCTCAAGGTAGCGATGAAAATACAAACCACTTGACCAGTACCCAAACAAACCTGCGGGCGCCACAACAATGAAGGCAAGCGGCTCTGGACTCCGAGCGACCCGCTTCAAACAATTCATCTGATTGAACACAATCAAACACCACAGCACCAGATGGACCGGGCAGACGGCTGAGTCAGTAGCGCCGACGAAATAGCTACTGGCTGCCGGCCTCTGCGGAGATATTCTCATGGGCTGTCTGAGTGAACTGATGAGCTTGACAGCCAATATCTATTGAGTCAATGAACCAAATAGAGCCTATGCATATCTCATGGCCCTGTCGGCTGTCACACAGGCTAACTTGCATTGAGTTATCAAACAAGATCAAAAATGGTAAATACCTGCAGTATTCAGAACTCGACAACTGAATATAAGCAATGCAGTATTCAGAACTTGACAACTGATGGTTATCTTAGAAACTTTAGAAACAGGATTTTTTGCATGCTTATTGTATAGCATGGAGTACAAATGAAATGAAACAAAGGCACATATCTCCTGTAAAAATGATCATGGTGCCTTATTACAACACTGCATTATTCATCCAAGCTCAGAAATGATGAAATGGGTTTTAAATAATAGAAATAATTAGCATGTTTCCATCCAATGCATTCCTGAAATCATTTGAACATTCATCCCTCACCAACACCAGTAAAAAAGGTTGTGTTATGTGTATCAAACATCATAACATGTGTATGATAAGTGTGATCTAAAATGTGCTATGTTGATGTTGTGGACAAAAATTATTATGAGCATCAGCAGATTTCTAAGAAGCAAGAGTTGACTGGCATGACAAAGGAACAAAATAATCCTGATATCATAAATGTTTTGTAAACAAACATATTTATTTACATTACAAGCTATAACCAAAAATGATAACTGTGCATGGGTTGTTATTGGGTTACTTTCAAAATGAATCATCCATGTTAAAATTGAATAGGTAGGTACAAAACCCTAAGCACTTCTAAATTCTAGTTTTTGTAGTATTTAGATTTTAGAATAACATCTAAACAAGAAGTGAGAGCAACTAATATTCACCAATAACTGTGAAGTTTGGCAGGAAATAACTATGGTCAAAATTCAAAAGAAACCACACCAATAATTTCCCACACATTCCAAAATAGGATTCCAAGTTCAGAAATAAAAGATTTAGGAAGCCATGAATTGTTTAACAAAAAGTTTTACCTGTTTATTATAACATAAGTGGGTAGTATTACTATTGTATTTTATTAGCAAAATAATTTCCCAAACAAACACAAGGTAAATAGATAAACAGTGTTTATTGCGCTCATGCTAAGCATTTGCCAGTAGGTAGCCTAGTAAGTAGTAGGTATCTATGCGTATAGTCACGGTTCATTGCTAAAAAGTAAAATATCAATTCCCATGGGCTATTACTGAATTTCTTTCCAAACTTTGTCAAGTTCACGCATCAGCGCATACAAAGCAGCTTTGAAAGCATGTCCTATCTTCATTTACTGCACTTGATAAATGACACTGCAAGTTGTGGAGGGCTTTTCAGAAAAGATAACAGAAAATTCCGGCCATCAACACTTAACATTCCATGATAAATTCAAGACATTGAGGATTTAGGCATGTTGAGAGTCAAGCAACAATTCAAATTGTAACTGTAACAGGAAATATTGCAGCTTTACAATGGTAAATTTAACTTAAATCAGAGCACAGTTGCAAGAGCTTGATAAGCTTCATAAGCTGACAAACATGTACTTTATCGAAGAGAAAAACAAGCTACAACAAAATTCATCAACTTTAACCAGAGAATAGAATAATTACCAGTCTGAGACCCTGGCCGATGACAGCCTGGACCGGCCCGAATCATTTGAAACGGTTTCGTTGAAGCTAGAAATAAGAAACACACTTACCCTTCAATGAAAGAAGCTTCGCAAATCTTATAGAAGGATTAAAATAAAAGTAATACAAAAAAGTCAATACAAAAGTATGGAAAACGATTAAAACTCGGGCTCTGGTATTAACTGGATAATTCGCCAGCTGACGCCGTATGGTGGCGCTAGTGGAGCAGCACCATATGACGTCAGCAGAAAACACCGTGAGCAGCTATGAAATGGGAGCGAGCACCACGGAAATATCGAAAGGTGATGGACATGTACTGACGTTGGTCATTCAAGTACCACCAACACCATACAAAAACCATATAATATCATCAAGACTGATTGTGGAATCGATTGCTTTGGGTATTTAAAACACATAAAAAATATTTGTAACCCAATTCTGAAACAGTATAAGGATATTCTTCTTTCTTACTTTTACCTTGTGGAGTACTTTTACTTGCTTTCTAGTGTGCCCATCACTATCTTGAAATCTGGATTGCAGCGCTGTAGGAAAACTTTTTTTTCATTTGTCATTTCTTCCTATTTTGAGCAGTGATAATTTATTTGGTTTTATACATTAAATAATGAAGACGGCTCCTAACTTTTTAGGG